TAATTTTTTGAGAAGGACCTGTATATCCCAGCACAGTCTCAAGGGCATGGTGGAGATTCCAGGAGACAGGCAGTTACTTTATGAAAGCTTAACAGAGCCATAGAAGATCCATAGCTCATCAGCAGGACCGGTATCTGCTCCTTTGTGCAAGACGGAAGTGGCCTGAGGGCCCGACGTCCTCTAGTGGGCCCTGTACTCACTGCCCGGCACCGTGGAGCTTGATTGGCATTTGCCATAGAATACCAGAATTGGCAGGTCTGCCACTGGTGTCCCGTGCTTTTCACAGATGAGAGTAGGTTCACCCTGAGCACATGTGACAGACGTGAAAGGGGTATGGAGAAGCGTGGAGAACGTTATGCTGCCTGTAACATTGTTCAGCATCACCGGTTTGGTGGTGGGTCAGTGATGGTCTGGGGCATATCCATGGAGGGACGCACAGACCTCTAAAGGCTAGACAATGGCACCTTGACTGCCATTGGGTATCAAGATGAAATCCTTGGACCCATTGTCAGACCCTACGCTGGTGCAGTGGGTCCTGGGTTCCTCCTGGTGCATGACAATGCCCGGCTTCATGTGGCATGTGCTCAGATTAACTCTTAATGATTATCATAATTAATAGTTATAACCGAAGTTAGCTTAGCCAGCTATCAAATTTATTTTCTGGTAATTTTTTTGCCAAAAAAATACCCAGTTGTGGTAAAGTGTCATATTTTCACATACACTTTTTAAATGTTGCATTTCTAAACATCGTTTGAACAAAAAAGTTCGATTTCATGTGATTTTGTGTCCCTCAGTTTCAATTATTTAGATCGGAAAATAGTTGAAAATTGTTAGTTTAACATTTATATAATGTTAATATTTTTTTTAATCTATTTTTCTCATTAAAAATTAAGGAATTAAGTTTAGCATGCTGCAAGCGAAAATAGCAGCTTCTGACTTGCCGGAGAAACTGTTGTTAGTGTTTGGGGAGGATGCATTCATTAAAAGGTTGCACAGTTACGGTTATTTGTGGCTTGATCTTAAAAATATGTGCATACATATATATATATATATATATATATATATATATATATATACACTCACCTAAAGGATTATTAGGAACACCTGTTCAATTTCTCATTAATGCAATTATCTAATCAACCAATCACATGGCAGTTGCTTCAATGCATTTAGGGGTGTGGTCGTGGTCAAGACAATCTCCTGAACTCCAAACTGAATGTCAGAATGGGAAAGAAAGGTGATTTAAGCAATTTTGAGCGTGGCATGGTTGTTGGTGCCAGACGGGCCGGTCTGAGTATTTCACAATCTGCTCAGTTACTGGGATTTTCACGCACAACCATTTCTAGGGTTTACAAAGAATGGTGTGCAAAGGGAAAAACATCCAGTATGCGGCAGTCCTGTGCAGACTGGAAAAATGTTGCCTGGTCTGATGAGTCTCGATTTCTGTTGAGACATTCAAATGGTAGAGTCAGAATTTGGCGTAAACAGAATGAGAACATGGATCCATCATGCCTTGTTACCACTGTGCAGGCTGGTGGTGGTGGTGTAATGGTGTGGGGGATGTTTTCTTGGCACACTTTAGGCCCCTTAGTGCCAATTGGGCATCGTTTAAATGCCACGGCCTACCTGAGAATTGTTTCTGACCATGTCCATCCCTTTATGACCACCATGTACCCATCCTCTGATGGCTACTTCCAGCAGGATAATGCACCATGTCACAAAGCTCGAATCATTTCAAATTGGTTTCTTGAACATGACAATGAGTTCACTGTACTAAAATGGCCCCCACAGTCACCAGATCTCAACCCAATAGAGCATCTTTGGGATGTGGTGAAACAGGAGCTTCGTGCCCTGGATGTGCATCCCACAAATCTCCATCAACTGCAAGATGCTATCCTATCAGTATGGGCCAACATTTCTAAAGAATGCTTTCAGCACCTTGTTGAATCAATGCCACGTAGAATTAAGGCAGTTCTGAAGGCGAAAGGGGGTCAAACACCGTATTAGTATGGTGTTCCTAATAATCCTTTAGGTGAGTGTATACACATATACCTGGAGTATATCATACTGTTTCCTGTCATATGATGACCAGTGAAACAGGAAAGGGGGATAAGGACTGGAGTAAAATAAAGGGGATTTAATGGGAAACCGAAGGGGCATAAGGAACAGACAGCATAACAACGCACAATACTACAATAACAGAACTAGAGAAACAAACGCTGACGTGGACTTAAATAGACCAAACTAATAAGGACAACTCGAAACAGCTGTTAAACACTGGCAATCCACAAGAGGTTAACGAGGGGGGCGTGGCACAGGAGTATCAGCACGATTGGGGTGTGACATTTCCAGTCCCAGATACACAAGGTTTAATATTAGAAATTCTCAGAAAAGTGACGGGAGGTCGATTTACAGATAAAATTCTATTCTAACTACTCCAGGATCTTGCATTATGTAATGTATGCAAACACGAAGAAACTCTTTCCCTGAGAAAAAAAATACAGATAAACTGATTAAGTGGTCACCCCAAAAACCAAACTGACATGAACCTATCTGCAGTGCATGTAAAGGTAGTTTGAAATGCACACAGATTGTTTAATATTTTAATATTCACCGTTTAATAACGTATTCGTATAGTGTGCACTCTTAATGCTTCAGCATACCAAGATATTTTGGACACCTCTAAGCTTCCAACTTTGTGGGAACAGTTTGGGGAAGGCTCTTTTCTTATAGTGAGTTTGGTGTGAAAGAACTTGATTGGTCCACACAGAGCCCTGACCTCAACCCCATCGAACACCTTTAGTGATTGAGATTGTGAGCCAGGTCTTCAAGTCCAAGCTCAGTGCTTGGTCTCACAAATACTCTTCTGGATGAATGGGCAAAAATTCCTACAGACGAACTGCAAAATCTTATGGAAAGCCTTCCCAGAAGAGTGGCAGCTGTTATATCTGCAAAGGAGGGACCAACTCCATATTGATGCATATGGATTTAGAATGGGATGTCATAAAAGTTCCTGTAGGTGTAATGGCCAGGTGTACCAATTATTTTGTCCAAATAGTGTATTTCCAACAAAGTCCAAACTAAATGCTCTTTCATCACATTGTATTAAGTTTATGGTGCACCGCTCTAGCACATTATGTCTTTGGAGCCAGACCTAGCGAATTACTGGCACTTAGACTTAGGCAATGTGATTCTTTTTCACCAATGTTATCTATTTTTATTTAGCTAAAACTGAAGCAGGGACCCACACCACCAGTCCTCGTAAAATAAATAATTGCTTCTTTTGCTTTTACTCTGACATATTCTCTCTGTTCCTGTTCCTGAACTTAAGGAGGCTCTGGACTCAATGAATTCTGGGAAATCCCCTGGTCTGGATGGGTGCCAGGCTGAACTCCTGTCTTCTCAGCTCCGCTGTATGGTTAATTCTGCTATTTACTTACTTTGGCTCCAGTGTTGTGCAAGTTACTGAAAATTAGTAATTACTTACAGTTGCTAGTTACTTAATTCAAAAGCAATTCATTATTTTACCAATTACTGCACATTAAAGTGATTAGTTACTAGGGAATTACAATTTTGCTGTTTTGTGTTGGGCAATGCTCTGTGTCTTGAGATCTGAAGAAGTTACATGTGCATGCTTTCTCTTGCCAGTGAACCTTACATACTGTAATGTAAAGCCTTGCAACGTCAAAACTGGTGTCTTTGACATGAATAAGTAACAGTTTGATAAAGAAAATGATCAGTCAGTGAGAGTAAGAAAGTGGGAACTCAGTGGGCTAAGCCTGTGTGCCTGTAATTACAAGGTCGCCGGTTCAAACCCAGCCTCAGCACGTCTGCGGGTCCTTGAGCAAGGCCCTTAACCCCCAGCTCCCTGGGTGCCCCAACAGGTGGTTGCCCTTTTTGGACAGCTTGCTCTACAAAGAGCAAGTTGAGGGAGACATAAAAAGAATTTCCGCACGGGGAAAATAAAGGATCAATTATTATCATTTAGAATTTTGGAGCTCAGGATCATGCTTACACTGACATCATGACAATATATCTAAGCATTTTGATTCTATTTTTCATTTTCATGGCACTGGCTTATTCATTGGTGCAATCATTTGCTTTTGAGACATGAGTTAATTGTTTTGGGTAAGTTACAGGCTTTTGCAGCAAAACCATAGTGTTGTCTTATATGCATGAACCGTTTTGAGAAATGCCTTTATAGTCTTCAGAATGTTATGTATATTTCATGAAATGTGCCAAAGCAATTCAGAAAAACTGTGATGAGAGCGGACCGGGAGGTGGGGAGGTCCTGTGAATGTGGAAGACCAGTGAGTTGAAGCGCTGGGGCTAGAAGAAGCTATTTGTGTCTTTATTTGATAATACAGGTTTGTATCCCAGGTAAACTGAAGCATGTGGCTCTTTCCATTAGTTTACGTGTCTAAGACGTGGTAGACCCAGTTTTTTTAAAACGGATTAGCTTAAAAGTGCTGAATAATACTGCTCAGGAAAGTCTCAGCTAGTAGCATTAATTGCAAATGGCATTTCAGCTGTTTATTGTGACCATCCGGGCAACGGCTTCAATGCAATAATGTAATGATGGGAGTGATTTCACTCTCTAACTGGCGGTAATAGAATCATATCGCAAATGTGATATGACTCTGTAGTTATTAAGTCTACAGAGCACTAGTGACTTTTACACACTATGCAGCTCAGCACTCAGCGACTCCACTCTGTTAGTTTTCATAGACTACAAATACATGGATGAGCTTCTCTTGTTCCTAAACGGTTTCACGTCCCAATAATACCACATATGCTTGACGGTGGAATATCTAGCAGGTAAGAAATTTCACAAACTTAAGGTGGAATCCTATGACAATACCACGCTTGATTTCACTGAGCTCGTCAGAATGACCAATTCATTCACTAATGTTTGTAAACCTAACTGCAGTTAGGTGGTTGATTTTATAGACCTTTGGCAATGGCTTGTTATGAAACACCTATATGTGCTCGGTCTGAAATCGACGCCACTTCCGATTAATTTACACTGTGCTGGCAAACGGTACGTCTGCAGCACTTTTCTCCAACGCGTGGTGACGCTGTTGTGCTAAACTAGCACATGTCCTAAATTAATCCAGAGCTGTCCAACCGGCTCCCTCCGTTACATTAAATGAAAGCGTGTGGCGGCACCTGCTTACTATTGATGTTTCGGCAGTAATGCGAAAGCCCAAGGGGATGGTGTCGGATAAAAACACATAGGTCATGATAGAGATTCATATGCATACAGATAGTGGAGCCGCGAGTTCAAGTATAATCTTGTTGGATCTGCAATTTGTTGAAATAATTCAAAGATTTTCGGTCATGCACTAAGACTCGCTCGAGAGGCTTATGTCTCCGTGACACTTCTGTTAATCCTACAAAATGTGAAATCATTGGGCACCAGATAACGCCCTTTGGAGTACCTAGTGCGCATGCGTAATACATATTCAGTGACCGAACCTCCAAGGGTAATTGTTTAATTCAGTCTATATATACATGCGCGTAAAGTCAGCGCTGACATTACGCGTTTGAAAGATTAGTTAGGTATTATCAACAAGTAATTTTATGTAAATATGTAATGACGAATTGATGTACAAGAGAAGCTTATGGCGGAAAAAAATGAAATAGCCTATTACATGATCTGGTGTGATTTGTATATTAGACTAACTGCCCAATTAAGAAGGGCACTTTATATTTTTAATACAATAAATTATAAGAACGCTGCGTAATTTTTGTATGTAATACGTTTCTTTCGTCATTAAACTATGTTTTTCGTGCATAATTAGCAGGGTAACCAGTCAGACTAACCACATGTCCTACTGCTGAATGGATTTGATGGAAAACGCATGGTGTGTAGCGGCCCTTCCCAAGCCCTGTGATTGGTCAAAACTAACGTCAATCATGGGCGTTGGGCGGAGCCGACTGTGGGTACGCTCAGCGGAGCGGGGTGGAGCTGTCATTCCCGGCGTCGCAGGTATTGGTATCGCCTTTCCTAACTGAAAAGCACCTCCACTGTGGAGCTCTGCAGGACGATTCGCCTGTCAACTAGACTCTCCGCGGCTCAGCATCGTGAAGCGCGTCCGATGGGCGATGCACAGGGGCTGAAAACAGCAGCACGAAGCGCCCACCCCACCTTTGAGGATGACCCTGTTTCTGGTCGTGGAGCTGGCTCTGTTCTTTTGCAGTGCCGGGGCAGCGCAGGCGGCACCGGGTCCGAGCGCATCACATGAGGCGCCTGCTGGAAGGAGCCCCCGCTCGCCGTCCGCGCTGATCAACGCCACCATGCTTAATCATCTACCGGAGGACAAAGTTGGGGTGGAGTTGGCGGCGCTCCTGCGATCGGCCGGGCCCGATACTGGCGGTGCGCCCTCCACAGCTGCAGCTCCGGGAGTACCTGAGGCGGCTACAAAAATAACAAGCAAGTCGGAATTAGCCCGCAGCCCTGTCGCCAGATCCCCATCTGTTGCGTCGTCCGCTATCACCACTCCGGCGACGGAAGCGGCCCCCGACATTACGGCAAATGCGGCTTCCCTAAAAAGCGCCGCTTTCAGCACAAAGAGCCGACAAGGTGAGCCCTTAGCCCGGTGCGTGAACCCCTCGATTGCATGAAAACATTTTCTAAATCAAACCACTGCAAAACCGACGTCACTGGCGTGTATTTTTCGCATTTGACTCGGATGCATCGCTAGATTGTTGCGTTCAAGTATTTATTCTTTTCATCTGTCAGACGGCAGCTGGTAAGTGTCCATTGTGAGGGTTTTCGGATGTCCCTGGCTTTTGGGGACGCGGAATGCCGTAATACTGCTTACAGTCATAAACCGGAGCGCTTCTGGATGTGAAGCGACCATGTCCAGACCATTAGGAGAGAAACACACAATACCCGTGTAGGAGATCGGCAGGTGCTGGCCTCCACGTCCAACTTCAGTGTTCTATCTTGAATGCATTAGTATTATTATTGTTGTCCAGTAGTCTGCACCATTTTGGTCGCATGCTTTTTTCTTACTTGCAGTCGATGGATGTAATTTTCATCAAGTATTGTTTTTAATGTTTTACTTATTAATTTTATTAGTAGGAGATATTTGGGGTGAAATTCATTCTTTACCTCCTTTTGGCCTCGGAATTGAGGTGTTTCCTTGATCCCTGGTGATTGCGTGGGAATCGCATGTAAGGTCAGATTTCTACGGTGGCTTTAGCGAGCCTTGCGGGAAACGAGATTTCCTAGGCGAGCGCCGCGGAGCGCTTGGCTACGAGCATCCGGGTGGTGCTGGGGGGCGGTGTGCGGCAAAGCTGTGTTGTTTGATGGCTGCTTGGGCAGAGATACCTCCTTCGCGGACTACAGGCGTGCTCACTGCCGTGCCTGTTTTTACCCCGGTGGTAATTATTTAATTTTCAGCTGCGTGGGGATGACGGTTGGGTCAGAAACAATTGTGTTATTAATGTTATTTAGCATGTGAAAGTGCTCACCTGCTGAAATGTCAAGTTCTGAGCAGCTGCCGTGGCAGCGCTGTGGAGTTTAAACAATGGGGAACAAAGGCTGTTGGCTTGATGGATGTGGACGGTATTTCCGATGTTGACTGCAGTTCCGCCGCTGAGCGAGGCTCACAGACTATTCCTGACTTGTCTTGTTATAAAACGTATTTTGTCCTAAAACATTAAATGCAGGTGCACTTAGCACCCCAGTCTGGAACACCCATCTTCTTCTGGATCTCTGCATGGAGCCTAATTTGTAGTCTCTGGCTGCTAAGTGGCTAATGTTTTTTTAGTATAACATTCCCACTCAGTCCCTGATAAATCCATCCCCACCCACCATCTCTATTGCTACCTGCCACTTTGTCTCACTCTCCCCTATGTCACTATCTTGACTTGAGCTGAGGTCCCCTTAGTGCCCTGCTATCCAATTCACAGCTCTTCAAGTTGGTGCGGTCCATGCCAATGCAAAACATTTTGCTGACCGTCTGTAATAATAGCCATCTGTGTACTGCACTTATGCAAAGTCCTCCAAGTCCTCCATTTAACGTAAAGGCCAACACCCCTCTTTTGGCTGTTTGGTTTCGCATTTGTCCTTCTGAGCAAGCGGGATATAGTATCATGGAGAGACACTTGCTTTTAGTGAGGTGCTCATCCATCTGGACAGACTGTAGGCTGTGAGTTTCCTGACAATGGACCAGCTAAGAAATGAACCAAAAGCATCTTGTGCCGGAATGAAGTTTATAAAGAAACCAATATACGACTATACCAGGACTATTCAAATTTTCCAGCCTTCCTTTACCTGTGAGCCAGGTATGAAGTCTCGGTGCCCGATCAGAATCAGTGATTATTCAACTTACTACCTGGTAGAACAGAAAACAATGCCTGGATTTGGAATTGAGGTCAAGATTTGAAGAGCCCTGATCTATACCGTGTCTAAGGCTCAAGGTGGGTCTGTACCTACAAATGCCAAGGCTCTAGGTGTTTAGCAAGAGATTATTAGGTTCTCCGTGGTACTCTGGAGCATTCAGCATACTTTTCACAAAGTCACAAAATTCCTTAAGGGCCACTAACGTACAGCAAGGGGTGTCAATGAGTAAGAGTCAGGCTTCTTCATAAGGAAGGCATGCTGTACCCCACATTTATACTGAATATGGTCCCTAATCTGAAATCTTTAAAGCCGCTTAAAGCATGTTGATTATTTTGTTGGAGTTAATTCAGGTTAATCATCTTACTCAAAGGGTACAATGGAAGAACCTGTTGTGGAACTTTGAGCCAACAGCATGTGTTTTACCTATTTCAACTGGCAGTGTATCCGACAGGCTGTGTCATCTGGGACCAGTGCAGGGCCCATAGGTGCTGGGTGCTGTGCCAGTCTCCTTCAAGCAGCCTCACTTTCAAACCAGTCTTCATTCTTGCCGATGTGAGTGGCTGGGACGAGTTTTCCCATGCTCGGCGCCTGTGGTCATTTGAGCCTTAAAAATCTGCTGGGTCTACAGTGAAAATGTTTTGAGTGCTAAAAATATTATGAGTGTGTTACATTTTATTCGTTTATTCAAAGCCAATTCATTTATTGTCAAAGCTGTGTTGTTTGATGGCTGCTTGGGCAGAGATACCTAGTTTGCTGGTTAACCAGCCTGGAAAGTTCAAAATGCCTATCCATCAGCTCTGATGGATAATGGGCCTGGAGTCCCCGTGTCCGGCTGCATATAGTTAACAGCCTTAGGTTGTGAGACCTGTGAGGCTAACTGCTAGCATGATAATGTTGGGCGGTCATTACGAGTAGAAATTGGAGTGGGGACCCAGCCTTTGTATCCCATAATGCCGTGTGTCTTTGTGCAGGGCTGTGGAGTCGGTAGATAAATGCTCCGACTCCGACTCCTCAGTTTCTAAATCTTCCGACTCCGACTCCT